GTATATGGTAAAACTATGGAAGACAAGCGAAACCATATGGACTTTGAACTGGTTGATAATGAAGTTAGATATGAAAAATGTGTGAATAATCCAACCTTCAAAAATAGATTTATAATAAATGAAAATCTTGTAGGAGTTGAGAAAACTAAAGCAAAACTGAAACTGGATAAACCAATCTTTTTAGGAATGACTATTTTAGATTTAAGTAAATTACATATGTATCAATTTTATTATGATGTCCTTAAGAAAAAATACAATGAACATATCAAATTGATATATACTGATACTGACAGCTATGTAATTCAAACAATGACTGATGATGTCTATAAGGATTTTAATGAGATAAAGCAACACATGGATTTTAGCGACTATCCTGTTGAGCATCCATGTCATGACAAAACTAATAAGAAGGTCTTAGGAATGTTTAAGGATGAATGCTCTTCAAAGATAATTACCAAATTTATAGCTCTCAAACCCAAATCATATGCTTTTACAATACATGGTGAGGATGATGAACATAAAAAATCAAAAGGTGTCGTGAAGCACAAGGTGAAAAAAGAACTATCGTATCAGAACTACCACGAAGCATTATTTCAAAACAAAAAGCATGAAATCACCTACAACTTCATTCGTAGTCGCAACCATCAATTATTTTCAATGTCTCAAGTTAAGCAATCTCTCAGTAATTATGAAAATAAAAGGTTTTATATTGATGCTTTTAATTCAATACCTTATGGTCATTATAAACTGCGTTAAAGAGACGATACATTATGTTATTCATGGATAGCAGTAAATATAGAAGTGCAAAGATTTACAAAATAACTGATATAGGTTATAATAAGTGCTACATCGGAAGCACCTGTGAAAGTTTGAGTCAAAGAATGGCCAGACATAGACAAAACTATAAGAAATCAGATGAATGGAATAACAAAACAAACTGTCGTTTGTTGTTTGATGAGTATGGAATGGAGAACTGCAAGATTGAATTATTAGAAGACTACCCGTGTGAAAACAGAGAACAACTATTGAGAAGAGAAGGTTATTACATTCAACATAATGATTGTGTGAATAGATGTGTTGCGGGTAGAACGGTTAATGAATGGAAGGAAGACAACAAGGAACATTACCAAAATATGAGGAAGGAATACTCCGAAAAGAACAAAGAACATATATGTAATAAAAGCAGGGAACACTACCACCAAAACAAAGAAACAATCGTGGGAAAAAGAAAAGACACGATTGAATGTAAATGTGGTGGTGTTTTCAGGAAATGTGATATACGAAGACATGAAAGAACAATAAAACATCTTGAGTTTTTACAACAATAATTTCAAATCTAAATATCTCTAATAGTAAATGAAACTATTAGAGTTATTTAGTGGCAAGGCTTTGGGCTAACATAACAAGTTGGAAACCTAGACCATTATGTAATAGGGATTGTGGGAAAATTAGGAATGGGAAACATTTAGAAACTGCTCAACGGTTGCCATCGGGTAAAAAATCAGATTGGGGTGAGGGATACATCAAACATAAACAAGATGAGTTGTATAGGATTCCTTCAAATTTGATATGTGATATATTCGTTTGTTTGTTTTAAGACCCTCAAAAGGGGAACAAGGACGACCCCACCTCATCCCAGTACCTAGAAGATGGTAGCGTCGTAGGCGAAGGGTGCGGGGACTAAGAGAGGAATGGATGAGGATGTGGGAAACCTCATACCTGATGAGGGGAACCTCATACCTGATGAGGGGAACCTCATACCTGATGAGGGGAACCTCATACCTGATGAGGGGAACCTCATACCTGATGAGGGGAACCTCATACCTGATGAGGGTAACCTCATCCAAAAGCAAATCCCCACCTATTTTCGGGGGTTTTCGTATGAGGGGGGTCTCATCCTTATGAGGGGGGTCTCATCCCTTATGAGGAGGGTCTCTTCCCTTATGAGGGTTCCCTCAAACACATTGACCGAGTATTTGATATACAAGAAGTTAAAGAACGGTTTAAAAATAGAAACATGTATTATCAAGCATTAAAATCATACTGTAAGAAAAATGAAAATGAAATTTGTATCATTTTAAGAAAATGTCTTAACATTGAAGATTTAAAAAAATTTAAACGTTGTGGGTTTACCTTTCCAAACCATATAGAAATAACAATTATTATATGAGATATATTCTTAGCGAATTAATTGAAATTTACACAGACCAATTAATAAAAGGATACGAGCATTATTGTTGCGAGTATAGTATGAGTTGTTATAGTGGTTGTATCGCTGGTGAGATTGAATTCGGGTCAAATTAACTTTTGTTTATTAATATTATTATCTTATAATATGATTAAACATTGTTTTATAATCTAACAAGAAGGTTAAGACATTTAAATTAAACCTGAAACCCAGACCAGTCGACCAGCAACCCCCTAGCCAAAACTACTTAAAGAAATATTACCTTATATATTAAGAGAAAAATGAACGGTGATGGAATCAATAATTATATCGATAAAAAATGCTATGATTGTTGTCACTTCAAAAAAGAAAATATGGAATTGTATAAATTGAGTTTACCTAATGAAATTGTGAATAATATTATTAATTATTCAATGGATGGTGAAGAAGACATATGTAAAAATTGTAAAACTTGGAGAGATAATCAATTTTTAATCAAATGTCTGTTGGGAATAAAAAGAATACATAATAGAAATGTAGAAGATGATATTTTAATATTTCTAACTGTAAATAAAATACCACCTTACGATTATGTTAAACAGTTTCTTAAAATCAGTAAGAAAAAATATGACACGATTTACGATATATTATGGATGTTGGGTTATAGTCAAGAGAAAGGAGAAGATGTTAAAGAAAATATCAAATTATTTATTGAAAGTAAAAAGTTTAATGTTCAAAATACATTGAGAGATATTAATATTATTTTTAAAATGATGTATGAAAGAAGTAAGACAAACCAATTAGATTATTATCCTGAACTGAAATTATAATCATAATATAATAATAACATGTAAAATCTTATATGTTATAATTATACTGAACTTTTAACCTATAAATGAAAATTAGTGAGAAAAAACTAACAAAACAAATCCACCGCCAACACCCCAGAACTTGATAACTACTAAAAGGGTAACTCTTTCAAATGAAAAAAATGTTTGCCCCCAGCCCAACAATGAACAAGGGGGGCAATTACCAAAATGATTACCTTAACGAAAACGATAAATAAGCTCCCTAAAAACCCTCTTTTAAAAACGAATAAGGGGGAACACAGATTTGAGATGAACATAAAAACCAGAACAGGCAACCCTCAACAGGCCACCCCCCAGGCCCCCTACTTTTACCATTTTTTCCCCCCCCCCCCCCCCCCCCACCCTCCCCCCCCCCCTCCCCCCCCCCCCCGCCCCCTCCCCCCCCCCCTCCCCCCCCTCCCCCCCCCCCTCCCCCCCCCTCCCCCCGGCTTCTTCCCGTGGTCTTCCGTAATCTTCCGGCTTCTCCCAGTAATCTTCCGTAATCTTTCGGCTTCTTCCCGTAGTCTTCCGTAGTCTTCCGGCTTCTTCCCGTAGTCTTCCGTGGTCTTCCGCCTTCTTCCCGTAATCTTCCGTAATCTTTCGGCTTCTTCCAGTAGTCTTTCGTAGTCTTCCGGCTTCTTCCCGTAGTCTTCCGTAGTCTTCCGTAGTCTTCCGGCTTCTTCCCGTAGTCTTCCGAAATCTTTCAAGCTTCTTCCCGTAAATTTCCGCAATCTTTCGGCTTCTTCCCGTAGTCTTCCGTAATCTTCCGGCTTCTTCTCCTAGTCTTCCGATACTGTTTCGGGACCAAACAACGCGCGTGTCCTGTGCTTTCGGGCTTCTTCCCTAGGCTTCGGGTAGTCTTCCCCCACCCCTCCGCCCCCCCCTGTGTCTGTCTATGTCTGTCTACGTATCTGCATCTGTCTTCGTGTCCGCGAAGACCCCCCCTGCCCCTGCGTGTCTGTCTGTCACTCTTTGTGTCTGTCTGGGTCTGTCTGCGTCTGTCTTCGTGTCCGCGAAGACCCCTTGCGTGTCTGTCTCTGTCTCTTTGTGTCTGTCTGTGTCTGTCTGTGTCTGTCTACGTATCTGCGTCTTTCTTCGTGTCCCCCCCCCCCCGCGTGTCTGTCTGTGTATTTGTGTCTGTCTGGCTCTGTCTGCGTCTGCCTGCGCATCTGCGTCTGTCTTCGTGTCCGCGAAGACCCTCCCCCCCCGCTGCGTGTCTGTCTGCGTGTCTTTGTGTCTGTCTGTGTCTGTCTACATATCGCGTGCTTTCTCTCGTCCCGGGCCGAAATTCTAAGGTGTGTGGGGGCGGCGGAACCAGGCCGCAGGCCATTAAATAGTTTCACACGTATTACCCTATATACTATATGTACTACGTCTGATTCTTGCTTTGAGCCTTGAGATGAAATTTCAGAGTCCAGTAAAAACTGACCTGGCCCGGTTGAGCTGGTCACCTAAACAGTATTGGCCCTCTGGGGCACCCAGGGATTGCAACTTCTAAACGCACCCAGACCCTACCAGTAGCAATTTGGAATGCCGACGCACGGCTGGCTCCTGTGACATTGTCTCACATGCCATCACTTGTCTGCTGGCATTTTGGCGCCACACATCGAAAACTTCGCTTCCCAGTGCCCATGGAAAAGAAAACACTGTGCCATTCTTTCTCAGCTCATCACTTTGAATACGGACCAAACCGGAATGAAACGGCCACCGGGGCCGCCGCTGAGCTAGCCAAACCCAGAGGCTGTGTGCACGTTGCCCCAAGGCTTCAAAACACACCACCCCAAACACACCCGCCTTGGGGAAGACCAAACGTAGACCAAAACTGCGATCTACCAGGTCCTCCAGTAGAGAGGCTACAAAAATGGTACCCTTTTTTCTGTAGTCTATTTTGATAGGGGAACCCTCCCCCAAAAAAGGGTAATCTAGTCTACTGTGTTTTTTGAGGAGTGGTAACCTGGCAGCAAACTGAAATGACACCGGAACGCTGGAAGATCTCGAAAGCACTCACGCCTAGCGCCAGCGCAAAGACAATGAGAATTCCAATGGTGCGACCACCTCAGCGATTTCCATAGCCAGCGATGGAGGAAACAGGCGGCTTACATATGTATACATATATACACATACAAGATATGTATATTATGTGCGTATGTTTGTGTGAATGCAACAGGCACACCGCGCATCGTGATATACGTATGTTGGTATGTAACTATGATTTTTTCGCGCGCGCGTGAGTGTGTGCGTGTGTGTGTGTGTGTGTGGGTGTGTGTGGGTGCGTGCGTGCGTGCGTGCGTGCGTGCGTGCGTGTGTGCGTGATACATGTTAAATGGAGGCGGATATAATGTAAATGTGTTTGTGTGTGTGTGTGGGCGTGTGTGTCTGCACTAACAGATTCATATATACATATGTATATATATATATACATATGTATAATTCACATCTTCAGATCTCCTCTCCCCAGAAACCAACTGTAAGATATTGCTGTTTCTCTGCAAGTATGTCTGAAGTCATACACGAGCTCAAGCAATTGAACGCGCATCTACGCATCTACGTTAAAGATCAAAGACTCTCAGGCTGTGCGTTCTGAAGTGTCAATCAAAGAGATGTCTGAAAGAAGTTGGTGCCTTAGCATTGGCATCCGTAAACAAACGTGTTTGCCTATATGTTCAACAGGTGCCGTATTTCCACAGCTTGCACATTCTTCTCAGCGCATGTACCGACTGGATACGCCAACAACGCAATCACCAACCACCCAACACACAACTTGTTGAATGTGGGCTGATTCATGATCAACTTTTCATGAGCCCAGCACTGAGTTCCGTTACTCTGTCAGCAGTGGGCAGTTGTGACATAGTATCTTGCACGCTGCTGCAGTATGTTGCAGTACTTTTTCAGGGTGGCTCATAGGCCTGGTGCATGCTGAAATGCTTCTTTGGCTCTGCCTTTCCCCTTTTGCCGCACTTGAGGTTCCGAAGGCAACTTAGGGGATCCCCATATGCACTGCACGCCTCAAAGGTGTTTCTAGCTCTACCTGAAGATGAAGAAAACCCCATGGCTAGTTCCCTTTTGGTTTTCCCTTGAAATAACAACTAACAACCAGAAATGGGTCTGAAAACCAGACATGGGTCTGAAATTCCCTTGGTGGGTTCCATGAACAATTGCTGCCAGGAAGCTAAATGAGGCGGTGCTCAGCGACAGAGCGGCCAACGCAGCCGGAGGGAAAGGGGAGAATGCAGTGGCAAACAGCCAGGCATACCTAAGCCAGAAATCCTCAAACCTGGGGTATCGTGTCCCCCCGCCCCCCGCAAATGGCTGTGGGTCAAAATGGAACCCGATGGGTAAATGGAGCCAAGGACTAAAACCTGCGGTCCCCTGGTGGCTTAATTTTGACCCATACCCAAGTGGGACTTTCTCTCAAGCTGGGAGTGTTTCGGACGCTTTGGTGGGTCAAGGGAAACCAAAAGGACAGCAACCCTATTTTGAGAAACTGCCAAATGGGTTTCGTGTTGAACTTTGCTTTCCTTTTGAAGCCGCGCCCCAAAGAATTTGTTTCGTTTTGCTGCACCAGAAACTGAGAAGTGAGCTACGACGCAGCGAGCTGAGCATGTGTGGAAGGAGGCAAATGCGGCAAACAGGGATAGGATGCTAAGCTGCTAGGTGAGTCTCAAACAAGTTGAGAAATCGTCCCCTCATATCTCATTGTCTTCTTTCTCCAAGTTAACAACTTAGTCGTCTCTATCACCCAACGGCTTGTGGCACTGGCAGAAGCTGCACGTCATGAGATTTTTCGCGCTTTCAGCAAGGCATCAACAGAGCAGTGGAAGCTAGAGAGTTGGGGCCATGTGAGTTTGTCTTAAAACAAGAGCTTGCCCGCTCTTTTTGGTTGGTGATTTCGGGTTAGAACACACATAAGTTGGAGGGCTCGCAAAGCTTGAGAAAGACCAAGACTTGCGCTATCCAAGGATGCACTTCCCACCGCGATCCAATCCTACAAAGGAATCCAAAGCAACCCAATTTAATTCACTCCAATCAAAAGCAATCCTATCCAAAGCTATCCAAAGCTATCCAAAGCTATCCAAAGCTATCCAAAGCAATCCAAAGCAATCCAAAGCAATCCAATCCAAAGCAAACCAACGGACCAGCGACATCCAATGATGATGTTCCTCATCCCAGGCAGATCCACAAGCTGCCGAAGGGTTCCTCGGCTCACAAGACTCGACGGGCGGGCCCCTTGGTGCGTGTCAAAGCTATGGTGTTTTGTTGGTTTCCTCATGTTTTCCGAGTTTGCAAAGGAAAACCAATGTGATTCACCAGGAACATTTCAGGCTGGCAACTGGTTTTGACAAATTCCCAGAACGAGTTGGCCCCCCCCGTTCAAACTTTCCATGACGAAAGGATACCCAGGGTTTTGACAACATTCAGCACTCGATCATAGGTGTCGTTTTTAGGCTAGTTTGGTTAGAAATAGATTGGATTGGTTTAGATTGGTTTTCTTCCGATTTACCAGGGAAATTCTGCTCTTGAAACGAAACAAAACAAAAAACAACAGGGCACCTATGCACCCGACCATTGCCGTTGGCCGGCCTCCCTTAAGGCTTTTGAGGGCCTCAAGGGTGCCCCTCATCCCAAGGGCTTCATGTGGTGATTGAGTCGCTGCACTCCATCTGCATACATTGGTCTTCTGTGCTACTGGCCTGTGTTTTGTTCATTTTTCCGGTTCAGCCAATGGATGACTCCTGACGACTTTGCTTTGATGTGACATCTTGGACATACAAGCTGAACACTTCCGGGAGCGAGAAGGTGGAGAGCCAACCCGACTGCAGACCCTAAGTGGTGCAGGATCCAGGGTGAATTAACAAGTCACCAGTCCAACATGCTCAAGCGAATTCCCACGTTGCAATTTCAGGGGACAGAAAGGGGCCTGTTGCTCCTGCCGCTTTGCAGACCTTGAGGATCGCATGTTTTGACAAATTTTCGCACTCCCCGCTCGGCTCGCTTATCCAAAAGGCCCACCTTGAGAGGACGTCAGCGGAACCAAAGGGCGGACACATGTTGCATGCTTGCGAGAACCGATATTTTTCCATGAAGCACACAAGCGCAAAAGTGTTTTTATTGATTCGCTGTCCGAGATTAAGCAATCATGACACAACTCGCTCGCTCTCAGCCGGTTGGGCTCGGCCTAGCATTCGTGCTACGATACGAGGATTGGCTTAGGGATTGCAAGGAGCTCGGATCAGATATTTATTCAGGGATTGAAGTGTGACTACATTGGTTTCGGCGCTGAAGGGATTTGGTTCCGGGAGATTTTCACATGGACCCCCCCCCCTTCCCCCCTTCCCTCCTTCCCTCCCCCCCTGCAAAAATATTTATGTTTTGAGGAATCTCTTGAACCCCTTTCTTGGGTTCCACGTTGAACATCGGTCACGGCTGTGCCGGGAGTCTGCTGAAGGCGGTACAGCATCAGCCCCGAGGTGCCGCTGCAGCCGAAGGTGAGGCAGGTGGAGCAGGCAAAGATCATGAACATCTGCCGACTCGTCGACTCCTCGCTAGGCTGGGCTGGAAAAATCGGACCCCAGCAGAAATGAGATTTTTTTGGCTTGGTTTGTGGAAAAAAACAGGACCCCCAAAAAGCAAAAAAACAAAAACGGGAGCTATTTCTGGGGAAGGTAGTTGCCCCCGCCGGAAAAAAAAGAGGATCGGAAAGCATCTGAAGTAGTGTGAAAAAAACTAAGCATGTCTCATTGCGGCTGTTTAGATTGTCGTTTTGTTTCGCTCTTTGCCGTTTTGCAGCCTTGTGTGCTTTTCTTGTGTAGCGGACCCTCTTCTGAAAAGTGTGCCCGTACTCTCGATGTCTTGTTGGAGGCCTGAGGCTTGAGTGGCGTTGCTTGGGCGGTTGGGTCGGCTGTGGCCGACCCGCTTCCATTTGCAGTTCGCTTGTGGGCTGCCACCCGTTGTGAAGCGTATTCATGCAAAACCACATGAGTAAGCAGTGCCTCTTCAGCAGCAACCACCCCAAAAACGTGATTAGGACATTCACAGTATCCCGCACCTGTTCACATAGATTATCGCTTAGTCCTGATCAAAGTAAAGTCAAACCTGATTACGCACAGGTAATTACGTCTGATGTTTCATACATTTTGCACATGGCATGTTGATGCCTCGAGTTGGCTACATTTGTCACATCTGCGAACCACCTCGTCGCTAATAACGCCAGCAAATCCGCAGCCGTGCATTTTTTGTTGGGCCGCCAAGGTTTCAGGAAAAGCTGTTTTGTGCGACCTCTCGCAAACCCCGTTTGCAAAAACATGATGACAATTGACAATAGAGCTATGGCATAAGAATCAAGGGCAAAGATGTCTGTCCCAAACGTCGATACAACATTTGGTTTTCCTTTTGGTTTTACCCGAGCCACACCCATTTCGAACACCGACGGAGCGGGGTGGGTGGGCACGTCTTTTTGAGGGGACCCAACCATTTGGAGCCTTTTGGTTTAAAAGAAACCGCGGTTTCCGGGTGCCTCAAAGAGTTTGACACCCAGGCAAGCAATGGAAGAACCGGAAGTTCACAACTGGAAGCCGGGCCAAAGTCTCCTCCCCGATGATGTGCGGATTTTCGAGGTTCCATGTAGAGAGAAACGTGGGGCGCCCAAAGTTTCCCATGGGCGGGGTTTCGGGACTTTGATCGTCTTCTCACCAACAAACAATGGTTCTCGGCTTGGCAAGAGGCCGCTTTGGACGCCTGCCTTTCACCAAGCTCGGTCCAATCCAGCCGAGGCGCCGTACCGGTGGTCAGGAGAACCAAGAGCACGCTAACAACCGCAACGGCCTCACGGGAAAACCGCTGGCTCGAGGCTTGGAAGGTTTCCGGCAGCCTATTGACACTCAAGTGGCTTCGAAAACAGGGCCTTGCAACAATCCTGGTTCGCTGCGATCTGTGCGGCTATTTCCGGGCATCAGCGCCCGACAGCGCCAACGCATGCTTGCTTTAGTGCCCTGCCTTTTGGTAAATGCATGAGCCGCCTCAAAACTCCTGGAGTAACTCCAGTTCTCATGGGGCCATTCGATCCTGGAACTCCGAGCTCTTTTGCCGCCTTCATGCTTGTTTTCCGCGTTCCAAATTAGCGAGGCACTCGAACCAACCTTGGAACAGCCAAACAAAATTACACCAGCAAGAGATCCCAAAAAGTGTCGGGAAGGTATGAAAAAAGAAAAACGAGTATTATCTTAAACACACAACAGGCGAAGTACCATGTAAAATGGAAGGAGGTTGCAAGAGCAACAGCTTCTGTAAATTCCTGGACAAGATCTCTGTGGAAGGATCTTTGCAGGATCTGTGGGTAGCGCCTCTTGATAGGATCTCTTGGCAAGATCTGTGCGCAGGATCTCCGAGAGAACCCTCCACAAGCTCACAAGCTCTCTTTTCAGGATGTGTGAAGAGCGTCCTCTACAAGATGTCTCGACATGAAATTTTGGCAGGTCCTGCGCGAGATCTGTTGAGTAGATCTCTATATGCAGGACCAACGCAAGATATCTGTGGAGGATTTTTGCAGGATCTCTGGGTAGGATCTCTTTTTTTAGGATACCCTCTACAAGTGTTCTGCTCAAGATCTGTAGGGAGCATCCCCAACAGAATCTCTCGCAAGGAATTCTTTGCAAGTCCCGCGCAAGACCTCGACCGTTTTGAAGATATTTGCGGGAGGATCTTCTCAAGACCCCTGCGCGAGATGTATGGGTAGGATCGCGATCTGTGCGCATGACCTCTGGGCAGGATCTCTTGGTAGAATGTCTTGGCAAGAGGATCCACCGCAACCTCTACATATCGAAGTTGTCTGACTCTGTCAGGATCCACAAGATCTCTTGCAAGAGTATCCTTGCAGGTCCTCTGCTTCGACGTTTGTAATTTGCACCGCGCTACAGCGAGAGCGATGCGAGCCACGGAAAGTGAACAGAAGGCTCACTTTCGATCAAAATTCGCACCGTGCCACAGCCAAAGCGATCTGACCCGCCCAAAAGGTCCGTAGAGGGTTTGCGTTCGATGTCCCAAATTAGCACCGCGCCACAGCGAGAGCGACCCGACCCGCCCAAAAGTCCGCAGAAGGTTCACGTTCGATGTTCAAAATTCGCACCGCGTCGCAGCCAGAGCGATCCGATGCCTAAAGTCTCGAGGCTTCACTTTCGATGTTCAAACTTCGCGCCGCGTCGCAGCCAGAGCGATCCGACCTGCCCAAAGTCCGCAGAGGGTTCACGTTCGACGTTCAAAATTCGCACCGCGTCGCAGCCAGAGCGATCCGACCTGCCCAAAGTCTGCAGAGGCTTCACTTTCGATGTTCAAACTTCGCGCTGTGCCAGGAAGAGAAACGCAGAAGGTTTGCGTTCGATGTCCGAGGTTAGCGCCGCGACACAGCGAGAGCGATCCGAGAGGGTTCACTTTCGATGTTACAAGATCGCACCGCGCTACAATCAGAGCGAGTTCGCCGATCAACCGTTTTCGGATTCGCGCAGCACCACAGCGGGAACACATCCTCAAAAGACATGAGCCACTTTTACGCGAGCCTGCGCCGAAAAGCGCCGGCCAAATCTCGACCCACCCACCACCTTTCACGAGCCTGTGCAATCAAAATGCGCTTCAAGATTCTATGAAGTCACGATGGTGCGTTAATCCACGAAAAATGGCACGGCTCAGAGCGAGCGCCTCAATCTGGCGCCGGGCTTTTTAACTACACACTGTTTGGGGAAACACAAGCTGGGCGGTGCCCTGTGCCAGCAGCCACTCGGCCTCTTCGCTTTGCCTTCGGGGGTCTCACTTGCCCAAAGGAACTGAACATAAAAGGCAAACCTTTTGGAACCTTGACCAGATGTGGACCAGCCCTGCAACACCAGCAGGCTGCAAAGTTGACCTCGGGGGGCTGAGTTTTTTTTCTTCGCATAGCCCTGGCATTAGCCTAACCCTGGCACTGCCTGGCGTGCATGAAAGGAGACACTAACAAACAAAGGTTTGGGGTGGGTTTAGGGTAGGTTAAGGCCCGGCATCGTTTTAACATCCTCACAACATCCTCAGCATCACCAGGCTTTGGTTGGCTGGGTTTAGGGTGGGTTCCAGGTTGGCCTCTGGATGGGTTCCAGGCCTATTGAGAGCAAATTTGGGGGTGGCTGTGCTTGAGGTGGATGGTTTGGTGCTGGTTTATGGCGGGGCTTGGGGTTGATCTCGGATGGGTCTAGGGCTGGTTTAGGGTGGGTTTAAAATTGGCTTCGGTCGTGGTTGTGTTTATGGACTTAAACACAACCACGACTGCAGCCAATTTTAAACCCACCCTGAACCAGCCCTAAACTCATCCGAGACCAACCCCAAGAAGCCCGACCATAAACCAGCACCAAACCATCCACCTCAAGCACAGCTCTCAATAGGCCTGCAACCCATCCGGAGGCAAGCCTGAGCCAACCTGGAACCCACCCTAAACCCAGCCAACGCTGAGGATGTTGAAAACAATGCTGAGGATGTTAAAACGATGCCGGGCCTTAACCTACCCTAAACAGACTACCCCAAACCTACCCTAAACCTACCCTGAACCCATTCCAAACCTTCGTCCTACCCAACCAACCAACCAACCAACCAACCAACCAACCAACCAACCAACCAACCAACCAACCAACCAACCAACCAACCAACCAACCAACCAACCAACCAACCAACCAACCAACCAACCAACCAACCACCTACCAGGGTTAGCCCTGTGACAGGGCTAGGCCAAAAAAGCACCCTTTCCTGACTTCGGGCAACTGACAAAAACAACTAACTTCTCATGTAAGAAAGGGGCCCCAGATTCTTGGCCATGTTTTAAGCACCTTTCTCATTCGCGACGCAAACCGCACTTTCCTTGAAGCTGGCTACATTTGTCACCTCCACCTTGCCGCTACAAGAGCCCGCAAATCCGCAGCCGGGCATGTTTTGTGTTCAACCCTAAACCTAGGTCTTTGCTTTGCTCATGATTTTGATCAAGGGCAAAGATGTGTACGATGGTCTCAAATGCTGATGAGGTGCTTTGTTGCCTGTCACACCTTGTTTACACAGATTCGGTTGTCTTCTCACCAACAATCAATTTTTCTTTGGCTTAGCAAAAGGCCGCTGATGAAACCTGTCTTCGGGTAAGCACAATCATATCAAAGCAGTCTAATTAGTTCTGGTGAGAGCTCATAAGGAACTGAAATCAAAAACACAACTTGTGCAAGGCTCAGTCCTTTTCAAGCTCATATACAATCACATAAACATATCTATACATATCTTTTTACATGTATACAAACTGTGTTTCCTGCTCCCTCTCTCTCTCTCTCTACTTGCATTTATCCCCCCAACATCCAAGATCTTGGGGCGGGGGTTGGGCAAACACATAATAAAATTGATACTGACGATGATAATAGTTATGAAAACAATGCTTGTAGCATTGTATGTATGTGTACATGCATATATAATATACACATCGACATGATTCACCGGTCGGAAGTATGGACCAGCCCCCCTTCCCCAGCCCTGTGCCGCCATGCCGCAATGGCGGTGACCCATGTGATCAGCGAGGAGTCCAGCGCGGCGCATTCCGCCACATACTCCATGGCCCCGACCTGCCGTTGTTTGAGCGAGTTTGTCGTGTTTTGGAGTTGGTCGCCCAACTGCTTGGGTGGTCTTTTTGGGTGGTCTGTTTTCTACAGGTGTGTCATTTTTTGAGTTGGTCATCACATTTTTGGGGTTGTCCTTTTTAACGGGTGGGTCGTTTTTTGGAGTTGGTCGCCCAACTTCTTGGGCGGTCTTTTTGGGTGGTCTTCTTTCGTACAGCTGTGTCATTTTTTGGAGTTGGTCATCATTTTTTGAGGGTTGCCCTTTTTCACGGGTGGGTCGTGTTTTGGAGTTGGTCGCCCAACTTCTTGGGTGGTCTTTTTGGGTGGTCTTTTTTACGGGTCTGTCTCCTTTTGGAGTTGGTCGTCCAACTTTTTGGGTTGCCCTTTTTAACGGGTAGGTCGTGTTTTGATCTTGGTCGCCCAACTTCTTGAGCGGTCTTTTTGGGTGGTCTTTTTTCACGGGTGTGTCTGTTTTTGGAGTTGATCGTCCAATTTTTTGGGTTGCCCTTTTTAACGGGTAGGTCGTGTTTTGGAGTTGGTCGCTCAACTTCTTGAGTGCATGGTCTTTTTGGGTGGTCTTTTTTCACGGGTGTGTCTGTTTTTGGAGTTGATCGTCCAATTTTTTGGGTTGCCCTTTTTAACGGGTAGGTCGTGTTTTGGAGTTGGTCGCTCAACTTCTTGAGTGCATGGTCTTTTTGGGTGGTCTTTTTTCACGGGTGTGTCTGTTTTTGGAGTTGATCGTCCAATTTTTTGGGTTGCCCTTTTTAACGGGTAGGTCGTGTTTTGGAGTTGGTCGCTCAACTTCTTGAGTGCATGGTCTTTTTGGGTGGTCTTTTTTCACGGGTGTGTCTGTTTTTGGAGTTGATCGTCCAATTTTTTGGGTTGCCCTTTTTAACGGGTAGGTCGTGTTTTGGAGTTGGTCGCTCAACTTCTTGAGTGCATGGTCTTTTTGGGTGGTCTTTTTTCAAGGGTGTGTCTGTTTTTGGAGTTGGTCGTCCAATAACGGGTAGGTCGTGTTTTGATCTTGGTCGCCCAACTTCTTGAGCGGTCTTTTTGGGTGGTCTTTTTTCACGGGCGTGCCTTTTTTTGGAGCTGATCGTCCAATTTTTTGGGTTGCCCGGGTGGGTCGTGTTTTGGAGTTGGTTGCCCAACTTCTTGGGTGGTCATTTTTCACTGGTGTGTCTTTTTTTGGAGTTGGTCGTCCATTTTTTCGGGTGGTCTTTTTGGGTGGTCTTTGTTCACGGGTGGGTCTTTTTTGGAGTCGGTCACGCAACTTTTTGGGTGGCCCTTTTTGACGGGTGGGTCGTGATTTGAAGTTGGGCGCCCAACTTTTAGGTGGACTTTTTGGGTTGTGTTTTTCACGGGTGGGTCTTGGTCGTATTTTGGGTGGTCTTTTTGGGCGGTCTTTTTTCACGGGTGGTTGTTTTTGGAGTTGGTCGCCCAACTTTTGGAGTGGCCTTTTTTTGGGTGGTGATTTTCACGGGTGGGTCTTTTCTTGGAGTCGGTCACCCAACTTTTTGGGTTGTGCTTTTTCACGGGTGTTTCGTTTTTTGGAGTCTTTGGTTTGCTTATTGCACGCCCCTTGGCATCTGCTTTCTGTTCACTTCCGCGCATCCTGTGGTTACCCTGGGCGGCATTACTGGCGTGTACTCAGTCAGAAGCAAGCAAGCTCAAATGAGCCCAACCATTCATGAATCCCTGCAAGGGATCCCATAAAATCATTGTTTAGGCAACAATGTCCTAAACACGACCAGAGTTACGGTCCCCACTACCAACCACTCTGTGTTTAAATGAACTTGAGAAGGGGAGACACGAAAGGTAGGATACCGCAAAGTGGTCTTCCTCATGTGTCGTCAAGTGGTTCGCCTGATGTGGGGCTTGCATCCAATACTATTCAGGTGCGCATGGAGCTCAACAGCTTGTACGGTCCCCACTACCAAACACAGGGTCTCCGTCCGACTGGATGCATCGGAATTGGATCCATTCCGAAGGTGAACTGGGGGTCATGAGGCCCGCCCCCCAAATCAACTATACGGAGTTTTCCTTTTTACAGATTCACAGTGTGGGACCCTCCCTATTGGTGAGCGATCAGATGGGACCCCACTCGGATTTTATGAGAGAAGCCGAAAGGGGGGAGGGATTCCTAATTTTGAGACACCAGGCATGTTGACTAGTTCCAAACGAAGGGCCACAAACAAATCAACAAATGGTACGTTCAAACCTCATCATCGTGTTGCGGTGACGCTTTTGATCATACTACACAAGGTCCTTTGGAGGGCACTGGCAGTCGATTTGTCAGATGCAACTCCCGCCTCGCCGAGGCGCCACGTGGGTCTTTGAGCTGGACAGGCGGTGAATGGGAGGCGGTGTGTTCATCTGAATCCAAGGAATTTTCCAACTCTTTGCCCAGCCGGGGAAACGAGATCACCAGTTGGCCACAATGCTCACGCGCAGCTGCTCGGCAACTGTTGGCGCTCAAGGTCAGACTCTTGTGGTTGATCGAGTGGGTCAGATAGTGTCAAACAGCCTGCCCAGACAACCCAGTCACTTACTTATCCATATGTTTGAACACACTCGCAGGGTTTGTCAGTATGCGTGCATCTGGCCTATACAGCCGGCACACCAGCAAGGGTCAGCAAAATGAAGCAAACATGTGGATCCTCTGAACAATACAAGCTTGCCATTGCAAGTCTGCGAGGCCAAGTGTCTTGCATAACCACTCTTGACTCTCGACCAACACGCAAGTCCTGCCTCTGGGCCCTGACATAATCGACTTGACATTTCATTGTGGGAGCGGCCACGCCCTTCTTGCCTCTTGTCGCAAGCAACATTTGGCTGTGAGTCCAAAATAGGTACCCAAAATGGAACCCTGGAAAGGGGGAAACATGGACTAAAACCTGCGGTCCCCTGGTGGTTTCATTTTGACCCACACCCATTTGGATCTGGATGGGACAGGACCCTTCACCAACACGACATTCGTGCGTGGTCAACACAACGGAACTCTTCGATTGAAGCGATATCATAGCTTTGAGCAAGTCCTGCTAGTATGGAGATGCTGTGAACTGTACCTGTGCCTTTTTTTTACAATCTACCGGCAAGTCAAGAGGCACCCCTTTTGCCTCGTCCTGCAATCGGGGCAACACACATCAACCATCAAGTGCAGCTTCACTGAACCTGTCCACTCCCTCTTTTGTTGGTTTGAAGGGACACCAACAGACAATTAACGATTTGTAACAAGGCCCTCACTGTTTGCAATGCAAGCCCGTAACACAATACGCGCAGGTTTCAGGTCTTGAGAAGTTGTGTAGCGATTCATCAGGAAGACCTCGAGGCTGTGTACTTTAAATCATGTTTCCACAGGGAAATGCATGTACTTGCCAGTGTGCATAAGGCATGTAGGCATTGTGTGAACTTCGGGCGTTAATGGTTTGAAGAGGCTCTAGGTTCACGCATGTCAACCTTAGCGCACCGAAGGGTCCATGGTCATACATTCAGCCCTTTCCCATGCCCCTGATTCCTGACAGAGAGCGCCCATTCTCCCAAGAACTTGCCATTTCAATGGGCGTGAAGGGGCGCAACCCTGGAAACAGAGAAAAACTGCAGGCAGCACTTTTCGGGGGAAAAACAACACGTACGCCTTTCTGGAAAGGGGAAAAGCAGTCAGCCGCGCAAAGAGCCGCTGTTCTCACGCGGTCGATCTGTGACAGTGCTCGGAGTGCCGGAATGAGAACGTTGTCGGCTTGTCCCAGACATGATGCAGGCCTTCACGCAAGTAGGCAATCCCCTGGCGGCGAATTGTGAGCTGCATGTTCAACCCATCTAGGACGCCCGCCCTTGAGGATACATGTCATAAACAGGCATACAAGTGTTGCTCAGCCTTTGTGTGAAAAGGAGCACGATCCATTGGCGAAGAAATACTCTTTTGGCCGGTTGCCGTTTGACCTTAGTAAAACACGGGGGCAATTTTAGTCGGGGCCGGAACACGGAAAACATGTCGGTTTTGCTCTGTTGGAGAAGGCTAGGCGTGTCTAGACTGGCCATTGCTATTGCATTGAAGGAGCCGAAACCTCAGCTTGCAACATGTACCTTAGGAAGGCTCACTGCAACCCTTGCACATGTTGATTGCTTTCGTTGCTCAGCGGCTGTACATTGCAGTTGTCTCGCGGAGAATCACACGAACTTGGACATTGTGAATGCTTGATCCAAGTGGCCGACACATTGAAGTTGTGTGTCAGTTCTCACATTGCGACAAAACAAAGTGTCCCGATTTGGCTCCACCTTCCGGGAGTAAAAGCCTGCTTAAAAGAGAGCGGGTCTGTACGTTCCTTCTACTTGCTTCGTGTTTGCGCTTAGACGTGTATTCCCAGGTAAATGAGTCCAGAGGATCCTTTTCAGCACATCGGAAGGATTTCGCGCGCCAGAATCTGAACCCCCTCTAAACTAGGACAACTCAGGACTGCTGGACCCTTGTCGAGATTCCCATGAACAAAGCACGATATGTTGACATCAATGCATTTGATGTGATTCTTTAGAGTTTGTGCACCCAAACACATGCCCGAGCTGTCGCACGAAACACCACATGTAATTACCAACATCTCACCCAACGTAAGTCCAGCACAAACATATGATGTGAATCTGGACAAGTCTGCATTTTAGGTGATCGTTTGACAAACATCAATGCTTGACTGGACTTGCCAAGACTGGTAGGTCGAACATCTCCCGGCCAGGCCTGGCATGATGCGATCGGATGCCGCACTCGGAGGGGCAGTGTACCTGCCCCGTGGCTGGTGAGGGCGGATGGGAAGCAAACACGGGGTTGAAGGCTGAATGTGATTGATATTGGGTGCAAACGAACATGATCCTGTTGAGTTGCAGTACTACTACTACTACTACTACTACTACTACTACTACTACTACTACTACTACTACTACTACTACTATTACTACTACTATTACAACTACCGCTGCTACTGCTACTGCTTCTGCTACTGCTACTGCTACTGCTACTGCTACTGCTACTACTACTGCTACTGCTACTACTGCTACTGCTACTACTACTACTACTACTACTACTACTACTACTCCTGCTACTTACCACTACTACAGTCAATCCTTTGCAAACAACAAGCAGCAAGTTGCTTCCCCCTTGCCAATCAACCCTTCCGGCCTGGTCCTGGCCGTGCGGAAAGGGCGCTGCCGCGTGCACGAGAAAGAGCTTGCTCCTCAGCACTGATCGTGACAGGCCAGGGCTGGGTCGCCTCTTTTCCTGGGAGCATCAGTCTGCCCAAAACGCGCTTTTCGGATTGGGCGGCTTTCAGAATTAAAGCTCAAAGCAGAGCATATTAGGCGCGTACAGAGATCCCCCTTCGCAAGGACGAGTTTGCCCCTGTGGTTGTGCCACAGTTGGCCCCTTCAGGATCATGCCCGTGCTGTTCACTCGCGCCCTCATTGGGTTTAGACACCCTCCAGTGGTTCACTACGCTCCTGCCAGTGTCCAAAAGACCCGGCCATATGAGCCTCACTTCTTCATGAAACAAAACACGGACCAGAAAACCTGGGGCACGGAGGGGACAGAAGGTTAGCTTTGGATACCTTGTCATTGAGCAACGCTCAGCATGAAGCCTTCAAACACGGCTGCACTTGCGTCCATGGCTCGTGGCTCGAAGACGAGGCCGCGATCTCGTGCAGAGTAGTCGTCATAGCCAGGCTCAAAGGCAGCTCCAAAGTCTTCAGCTCACTTCAAAGTCCTCAGCTCGCAAAGTCCTTGTCCCAGAAGGTGCTGTCATCCTTGTACTCCGCCGGCACAGGCAAGGTGTTCCCTGGGTGGAAGTTGGCCAAGTCCCGCTTGCTGCGGACGTTGGGCTTGTAGGGCGCCTCGAACTTCAGATCCGCCAGCAGGCTCCAATTCATGTCGTGGAAAAAGCGGTGGTCCTCTGATCGAATCGAATCCGAACGCAAACCGGATGCATTCTGTACCCACTATCTATCAAACATCTCACCTTCTCTTTCCATGCTTCTTAGTATCAACTCCTCAAGATGAGGGGCTTCAGTTCGGGTCCGACTCGTTTTTCATGGCAAGGGCCACATTGAAACATGCTCATGTTCCACACCTTCCCGTCAGCATCCCCGCCATGCAAAAGCTCGTGCAAAGGAGTCAGTGCGCCTTGAGCTTGGCGATCCCCAAGCGCACAGGTAGCCTGTCCGCGGGCTCCTTCCTGCAAAGCGGGCAAGTTTTAATAGCTGGACCAAATCGGATTCGACATGTTTAACCATTTGGATGTCTCTTTGGCGTCACGTCATATAGAAATGGCCAGAACTCGCCAGGTTCTGTGGATGCATTCCCATATCATGGGTAGCATTTTTTTTGCAGCTCTATGGCCT